AGTAAGAACTGGCAGCCAACATGCTTCTAAAGCTCTGCTCTGTTTGGAGTCAGGACATTTGGAGAGACAAAAGGAGAGATCTGATGAGATTGTAAACCCAGGCTCTGGGGCAGAGGGGATGCTCTACTGTCCTCCTGATTTTGGTGTATGAGTGAAGGTAGCCACCACATGTCTGAGTTCACCTGGTCTTCTCTGGCTGTGTTGTTGTACTGTCCTTTTCTATTGTTCTCTGTTGTCTGTTGGATTTGTGATTTTAAGCTTTGTTGCAGAGATGGGAACTGAACTGAACATAAACAAATTGCCTCTGAACTGTACACTACAACATTTTCAGGATTTCCAAGAGGCAGACTGCTCCTGGCTGCCAGCTCCTCCTTGGACCTTGCTCCATCTAGCTTGTCTGTCTCTGTTCCCCTTGTTAGCTTGCTGAAGCCTGATGTTTAAGTCCTGCAGGTACAGGACTTGCTTCTCTATGCCCTCCTGTTTGCAATCTTTTCCCCTTGCTCTCCTTCTGGAAGACGTCTCTTTTTTCCTACTTATCCTGTCTCCCAGCTGGCTCCAATCTCTGACTATAGAGTTCTGGCTGCCATCGCTCGGTGTCTGTGCTGGCCTGGGGTGCACAGGCACTCCCAGTGCATAGCTCTCCCAGGCATCATAAGCCCCCTAGTCCACTGCCTGTTCCTATTGTGGTGCTGCAGCTAGCCCATACCCAGAAGCTCTGATCTCTAAGCCTTCTTTGTATTCTGCTTTCTCTGGTCTCTTCCTTTGATTATTGGATTCAATTTTGCAAGGACTCAGGTGTCTTTTGGGTAGGGATAATGTTATTAAAAAACCTGACTCTGGAGTTAGGATATGGCCTTCCTCCTCCAATCCAAGTATGATTGTTCAAATATTTCCTCCAAAATCTCTGTTCTAGGTCAGAAGGCCATCTGACTCTAGAACAAAGAGAAAAAAAAAAAACAGCCCAAGAAAAGATACGATGTGCTTTAAAATAGCTAAAATATAAATGTTCTGTACTTTAAGATTTGTAAGTTTATTGGACATGGTTAAAACATCTACAAAGCAAATCTGTAAAGAAAGCAAAAACAATCTGATGCCAACATTTTCTGAGTTCCTGTGAATATATTGTTTTTATAGTTTTCTGTTTAATGACCTCCAGATTACAGATACTTATATTATTCTGCAACTGAATGACTTTATAAGAAAATATACTCACTAAGATTTTCAGGTTGTCTGCCTCCATCTGCAGACACACACAAACTGGTTATCAAGTAAAATAAAACCCTCTGTCTACAATCTCTTAGTAATAACTCCAGATATGCCTGCTTAAAATTATCAGACTAGGACTCACTTAAAGCTAATATTCCTTCTAAAAAGGAGATAGGCAAAGTCGCTGAACCTTCAATTGAGCATCTGGTCACTCCTTCCAAGCTGGTTCTATGCAATTAGGACATCACCATATGAGGCCTCAAAGTATTCTGGAGAAACTATGGTATATAGGCTAAAAACTAAGAATAAGGAGGGAGTCCACCCGTGCAACAATGAGAAAGACATTACATATACTGGGTAAAGGCTCCAGATTCCCTTAGGAAATATTTCTTACAACAAATGTTAAATTTGTTACTGTTATGTCTCATGTTATTTAAATCTTGTAATCAAAAAAGGATTCATACAAAATTAGGATGCTAAATGTAATTAACAATGTCTAGCTCTTTGACTTGTTCCTCCTTTCTTGGTTCTTGTTTACAAAAATGTTCCCCCATTCAAGGTCATAGATATTCAAAACTCTTGGGATCTGTAAAACCATTGCAGAGGGTGGGGGGAAGGGCCCAGGCAACTGTGAAATTCCAAGCCCCCCCCAATTAGTTTAAAACTTGTAACAAAAAGGTTAATAGTTGAAAATCTATACACAGGTCATCTTAATTTGCTATTGTGACACTTGGGAGAGCAGGCCCTGCACCTCACCTGGGCAACCCTGTCGGTGGAGGTGAGGGTGAGCCAGCCAACCCCCAAACTTGTGAGCGTGGGAGAGCTGTTCCCACTACTTGTCTGTCATGCAGCAGTGTGGGTGTGGGGGGTTCCCCTTTTAACCCCTTCTGTCCCTCACAGACTGGAACAGCTAAGCAAATTGACCCTCCCCCCTTGCCAGCTGCAGCACTCAAGAAAGAAGGCCTTGCTCCTCCCTTAGGCCCTGTTGGTGGAGGTGTGGGTGAGCCAGCCCCAAGGTTGTGAGCAAGGGAGAGCTGTCCTTATTACTCAACTGACATGTGGTAGCATGGGTGGAGGAGAGATGCTCCCCCAGTCAATGCCCGAGACAGATGGAGGAGCTGGCCCTGGGGTCATAAGAGCAAGAGGGCTGTCCCAGCTGCAATATTCAGGAGAGTGGCCCCTGCACCTCACCTCACTTGGGTGACACAGTAGAGCCGGTCCTGGTTGTGTAGGTGCAGGGGAGCCGACCCTGAGGGAAAGAAAGCAGGAGAACTAGACCCACCCCTCACTCATTACTCCAAGGGTGAATTAGCTGGGGCAATGCTGGAGAGCGCACCCTGGTGGTGAGGACAGGGAGAACTGACCAACCCAATAGCTGCCCAGGCCCAGAACCAGGGTTATGAATTGGCCTGCCCCAACATCCACCCCATCTATGGTTTACTGGAACATTTGAAGGGGCCAAACACACAGACCCCAAAGCTGCAAGTTCTCCATGACACAGGGCAACAACAGGATATCCAAGATCTCAGTGAGGGCCCAGCATTGATGGTGTGTCAGAAACCAGAGGCCTCAAACCCGACCAATGACTCTTTGCAATGCGCACTTGCAAGTAAAGATATATGGACAAAAAGGTTTATTATGTGACTCACTGTGCCACACTGCAGCTTCCATAATGAGATTTTTAATTTTTTCTTTTTTCTTTTTTTTATCTTAAATTTTGTCTTAAGACACATTGAATAAATGGAAAAAAGGTTTTTAAAAAATGTGGTTGGGTGTGGAGTCACACGCCTTTAATCCCAGCACTTGGGAGGCAGAGGCAGGCAGATCTCTGATTTTGAGGCCAGTTTGGTCTACAAACTGAGTTTCAGGACATCCAGGGCTATGATAGACAAAACTGTGAGCTGCCAGAACCCTAAAGTCTCCTCCAAATAAGACAACACAAATGACTCCATCTTAATTATAGTAATGCTAGCCACTGGCAAAGAACGGACACATGCCGCTGGACCCTACCCAAACTGTGGACAAGCAGGGCACTGGAGAACTGACTGTCCCTCTTGGCTTCCCAAGGCAGGCCAAGTTTTCAGTGTCTTCATCCACAAAAGCTCAGATCTTCTGGGTCTGGCAGCTGAAGGCTAAAGCTGACCTGTGTGGGAATGAAAGACTTCATGTTGTCCTGTGTGACTGCTGAAGACCAATGACCTCTGCCCCCAAGGCCACATGAAGGTAACCACCTAGGAAGTCTCTGTCATTTTAATTGATACAGAAGCCATATGGATTATACTCCTGCTCAAATTTATTTTTCTTAGATCTCTGATGATATTGATGGCTCATTGTAGCAATGCTGCTCTCAATAATCAACCACCCATATAATCATTGTAAATAATTAGGAAAAATGGAATTTATAAAGGTCTAGGAAAAGATTTAGGATGCAAGCTGTAAAGGTCTAAGGATAGAAAAGCTTAAATAAGTTATGAGGGTCTAAGGAAGTAATTTAAGGTATATAAAGGTCTGAGCATATGAAAGCTCAAATAAGCTGTGAGGGTCTGAGAAAGTGATTTAAGGTGTGTAAATGTAAGTTACAAAGGTCTAGGGGAATGATTCAAGGTATATATAAAACAATTAAAAATGTTTCAGATTCCTTCTCTCTTGCTAGGCTATTATTATATTAAGACTTCAAAAGTTCAGAGTTTTTACATTAATCAATGGAGTTAAGATTTCCCCCTAAGCTCCTTAACTTTGCCTTCTGTTTCTAGTCTATATTTGTCCCAACAGATTTCCAATCAACTAAAGACTACAAGCTGTTCCAGACACACCAGCCTCAGGTGGTCCTTTGAGACTGGCAAGCTGTGGACCAGCTGAAAGCTAATGTAAACCAGATGCTTCCGACAAAATTTCCTACAGCTTGAGCCCCAGCTTCAGACTAGCATTCCAGACTGCTCCAAAGCTACCTGCCTGTCGCTAGTCCCAGGTGGTCCACAGAACCTGGACAGCAAGCCAGATGTAACTTGTCCCTTCCTGGTCTTTGACTGACAGTCTAGCCTTCCTGGGCCCTGACAACAATGTCCTATTTCAGCTGAGAAGCAGTTACAGAAGAGACTATGTTGCCCCTTACCATTAACAAAAGGCTAAAAAGTTAGATCCAAAGAAACTACTTCCTTTCTACCAAAGGAGCCATTTTCCTGTCACTGTCAAAAATGACAAATAGTGGTGCCTCTTAACACACCAGAACACGCTGGCTCCAGGCTCCTTCAGTATTACACCTACCTGTTAAAATCAGAGAGCTACAAGATGGGGGCTATCCATCTTGGTACCCACCAGCCATTTGTCTCTGACTTCAGTTCCTGGAAGATAATTTCCCAGTAACCTTGGCTGAGTGATCCCCACCCAAAAAATGTACAGCTGAGACTCTCTACTTGTTATGATATGGCTAAATGCCATTTTTGGCTTCTGTAACTTGCTTATGTAGATACCCAAAGATTGTTTAGGGTCACTTAACTTGGCAGAACAGATAAGTTTTTGCTTGCTTGCATAGATATTGAAAGTCTTCTTGTGGTTTTCCCCTTTAAAAATCCTTCCCTTCTCATGGCAATCTCAAATTTGGCTTGGGGATTATTAGTCCTGCTAGAAGCTAATAAATAATTATAATTGGATTGAGTCTATGGTCTTTTCCCAGGGATCACTAACCACATGACATCAAGATGCCCTGGGTTTTATCCGAAGAACCAAGAATAAAGTAAAATATCAAATGAGAATCATGAGAGGTCTTTGTGTGCCCAAATAAGGACAGGGAGAGAAACCTTGGTAAAAGATATTTAATGTCAGAGGGACACTGTACATCTGGGCAGAGATGACCTGCCAGCATGCCCTGCTGTTCATGAGGCCTCCCCGATAGAGGAGGTGGCAGCAGCAGCAACAGTTTCCTGCCCTGTGGCGAGATGGCAGTGCACAAGCCCTTTGTCCCCAGTCAGAGCCCAGGTTTGCTTCATGTCTTCCTTGGTGTAGCAGAGTAAGTGGCCATCTTTCTCTCGGCCCAGGAGCTTTGCAGCAGGAGCTGATGGCATCCTCATCAGAACACAGATCCAGAATCCAGAGAGGCACAGGTCCCTTACGGTCACCAGTCAGAGTGACTTGAGACCTCTCCCCACTACTGGGGAAGGAACCTTCCTTTCCTGCAGTTGCGCACTGGATGAGAAAAGAAGCAAGTACTGGGACTTTTACTAAAGCTGCCTCCATTCAGGAGAAGACCTAGGCCACCATTGGGGTTGTCAGGTCTTCACCTTCCACAGGGCCTCTGGGTCTCCTGGCCAGGGTCATAGACTGCAGATTTGAAACAAGCCCATCTCCTTCATCTAATCACTTCCTCTTTCCTGGAGGCTATGGCGCATGACGCTCTCAAGCCTCTGTGTCCTGAGAGTCCTGGCCAGAAAGCATGGAAAAGCCCATTTCTCTCCACTGGCTGCAGGTTACCAGCAAAGCCCAGTCCTCACAGAGGGCCAGCATCTCTTAAGTCCTTCCTCTCCATTTTCTTCTCTTGCTTATTTACCATCCGTCCATTCATTTGTACAAATATAAAATATATTTAGATAGATTTATATAATACAGACTTTTGAGAGGCAGAGAGGAGTGGGCTGGAGGCATGGGTGCCATCATTTACAGACATACTGGTCCACAATCTCGGTGCATTTTTTGCACCTGACAAAGCAACACCAGTGGAACCTGCAGTGGCAACGCTCCACCTGGACGCTCTTGAAGCGGTCATAGCCGCGGCCACAGCACATGAGCTCACAGCCATCCGTGCCCTCTGAGGTCTTGTTGCAGAGGCGGCCCTGGGTGCCCAGTGAGCCTGTGGTCTCGTTGCGCAGGCAGTAGTCAGGGCTGGGGTCCACGTAGACCAGGTCCTCTGGCGTGGGCTGGTTGAAGCGGCTGTTAGCCAGCTCCAGCTTGCCCTGTCGGGTGATGCGCACGGCGGCAGCGCTGTCATACTTCTCCTTCAACCGGTCCCCTACCTTGCGGAACTCAGCCAGCTGGAGCCAGCAGGTCTTGAGGCTGCAGGACCCTGAGACTCCGTGACATTTGCAGGCGACATCAGCCATCTTATACACAGCCTGGGGGCAGGGGGAGAAAGATGAGTGAGAAGGAGAATCCTTCACAGACTGTTAAGAAGGCGACGAGGAGCCGGGCGTTGGTGGAGCATGCCTTTAATCCCAGCACTCAGGAGGCAGAGGCAGGCGTAACTCTGTGAGTTCGAGGCCAGCCTGGTCTCCAGAGCGAGTGCCAGGATAGGCTCAAAAGCTACACAGAGAAACCCTGTCTCGAAAAACAAAAAAAAAAAAAAAAAAAAAAAAAGAAGGTGGAGGAATGCTGCATGGAGCTTTTACATAGGCTCTGGAGACCCTAATGGGCTTACCAGACTTGGGGAGCAATTGCTTCTACCCACTGAACCATCTCCCCAGCCCTTACAGTTTTAAAAAAATAATTTATTTACATTGGGACAGACTCTCATGTAAACCAGGCTGGCCTCAAACTTGCTCCACAGCTGAAGATGACCTTGAACTTCTGACCCCTTGCACTTGGAACTCCTGAGTGTTGAGATTGTAGGCATGGGTCACGGTAACCAGTTTATATATTGCTGGGGATCAACCTCAGGGTCTCATGCTTGGTAGGCAATCATTCCACCAACTGAGCTAAATCCCCCACACCTCTCACCCCACCCTTGATTTTCTTTAAATGGAATCTTGTTATGTTGTTCAGGCTGTTCTCAAATGTGGGGGCTCAAGTGATCTTGCCAGTCTCCCTAGCAGCTGGAACTACAGATGTGAGCTGTTGCTCCTGGCTCAAACTTTCTATGTTGATTCAATTTTCAAAGAGATAAAACCCAACAAAATATGTTTAGCTTTTGCACAATATGGAGCACAAGTCAGAAAAGAAAGGATTCTGTTCTTTTACATGCCATCATGGCCTGGCTTGGCCCAAAGTCCTCCCACACTGTGTGGTTCCTGTTCTAGGGTTATGAGGAGCTTCCTGGGAGCCATCACATCTGTCAACAGGACCCTCAACCCACCCCTCACCCCTCTGGAAGAGGCCCAGAGTTTGGGGCAAGGGCAAACCTAGGCCCTTGGAAACAGGGTGGTGAGCCTGCTCACATGAGAGTTTGTTCCAGAACAAATTGACTTCTTTTTTTGTTTTGTTTTGTTTTTTTGAGATAGGGTTTCCCTGTAGCTTTGGAGTCTGTCCTGGAACTAGCTCTGTAGGCCAGGCTGGCCTTGAACTCAGATATTGGCCTGCCTCTGCCTCCTGAATGATTGAAGGCACTCGCAAACTGAAAGTCATGGAAGTCACTCAATCTTAACTTTGTGGAGTGGACTTGAACTTGGGCTATTCCAAAAATCAAAACTATAAAGCAGAGCAGCGCAGCACAGAGGAGAGAAGAGCTGCTCACTAAGTACTCTTTAACAAAGACCACTGCTGTCACAGCCCTGGCAGCTGTCTGTGCACAGGAGGCAGGGTGAGAATGCATCTCGGCCTCAGACGCTTTCCTGGCCACAGTGGTTGTCCCAACAGAGTCGGGGCTCATTTCTCTAGGGTTTCCCTTAGACTTCTTTTCAAGGGTTCCTAGATCCAATGCTAAGCAGAGATTATCACATGCGCCATTAGCAGCTCTTGGACTATTTGGAAGGTTGTTTTCCTAAGAGGAGTAGAGACACTGAAGCTCTGGAGTCTTGCGAAGCCATCAGGCCCATGCTAACATAACCATGTCTGAATTCCAATCTGGTGGCCCGTGTTGGCTTAGAGCAGGAAGGGAGGGAGGCCTTCCCCAAGGTTAAACCCTTGGCTTGGTAGCTACCAAGGACACCATCCCCTATCCCCATCAAGACCTTCACAGACAAGCTCTGCAGTCACCTTCAGGCCTGCAGCACAGGCCTGGGTTCTCGCCTGCCTCTCTGCAGAGTGGTCTTTGGCTTAGGGAGAGAGCAACATCTGGTGAGGTGGATGGGGAAGCATTAAGGGTCTGTGGCTGTGGATGGAGTGGCGGCTGCGTCACCAGAGAGCAGGATAAATGTCTCTAATGGGAGTAAATACTGGGAGACAGGAAGGAGGAACCAGCTCACAGATATGGACAGGATCCCCACGCAAGACTGAGGAAGAATGCAGTTTCCCTTTGCTATTTAAAGTCCATCTATCCTTGCTCTAGATGAAGACACTGCAGACATTGTAATATTTGCTCCTTTGTTTCACATTTTATTGCTGATACTTCTGTGAAGAGAGGGAAGGGAATGCTAGTGTGGGGCCCTTCACTAAAAAACTAATACAGTGTGTGTGTGTGTGGGGGGGAACTGGAGATGTAGTTCAGGGTAGAGCATTTGCCTAGCACGTGTAAGACGCTCAGTTTGATCCCCAGAGTCACAAAAGGTGACAAAATGCTTTTTGAAAAAAATGTTTTAGTCCTAGTGAGTAGTGTGGTAGTCATACTTGGAATCCCAGCACTCTGAAAGGCTAAAGGAGAAGGACTGCCAAGAGTTTGTGGCTAGCCTGGGCTACATAGAGAGTCCTTGTGTCATTCTTAATACCTCCTCCCCAGTTTTTTAAGAGCTGGGCTTGGTGGCTAATGCCTGTAATATGAGCACTCAAAAGGCAGAGGCAGGGAGTCTGGAGAGATGGCTCAGAGGTTAAGAGCACTGCCTGTTTTTCCAGAAGTCCTGAGTTCAATTCCCAGCAATCACATGGTGGCTCACAACCATCAATAATGGGATCTGGTGTCCTCTTCTAGCATGCAGGCATATATGCAGGCAAAATACTGTATACATAATGAATAATTTTTTAAAAAAAGGCAGGGGCAAGATAACTGCTGTGAGTTCGAGGCCAGCCTGGGCTACCTAACCAGCTCCAGGCTTGCTGGCCTGGAACTCACAGCGATTGGCCTGACTCTGCTTTTGAGTGCTGGGATTAAAGCCGTGTGCTACCATTGCCCGCCGGGTCTTTTTATCTGCATAGACATCCTGCACAGTTGAGTAGCAACAGCTTGCTGCTCTTGCCCCTATGTCCAGAGGAAGCTGCCATAGTTGCTTATGGGCCCAGAGAAGCTTCTGCCAAAGCACATGGGACTTCTGCTGTTGGGCAAGATGGCAGATCATCTGTTGCTGTTCTTGCTTATTCTGGTCTTAAAGTACTAGTCTGGGCTCTTTTCAACCCTTCCATTGTACAATGCTCCTCGGAGAACTCTGTGTCCATATGAGGGGGTGGGAGCTAAGCATGATACCATTGTCCCAGCTGGTGATTGACAGTTGGAGTTACTTGGACAGTGATTTAAAAAAAAAAAAAATAGAGGGACTAGCATCCCTACCCAGGAGCAGCTTGTGACAGAGGAGAGATGAAGCTCTGAGGAAGACGTGTGCAGTGTGGGGGAAAGAGCTAAAGCCTGGGAACCAGACAGAGGAAAGCAGGAAAAGAGGTCATCAAGGGGCCAGACAGACAGAGGAAGCAGCAGAGAAGGGGCCAGCACAAACAAATGATTAAGGGCATTAAATGAGGAGCCAGCAAAAGTAGGGTCAAACTGTGAAGGGAAGGGAGGCGATGTCTCCCCTCTGCCTTCAGTACAGATCACAGACCAGCATGTTCCTGACATTGCCAGATATGAGCTCAAAGTAGGGCTGACACACAGCCCCTCTCCCTCGTTCTGTGAAGCAGGCCTCTTACTTAACCATTAGGAGGCAGCACAGAAACTGCTCTCGTAATCGTGCAAAGCCCAGTACAGGGTGTCACAAAGAACCATAGCCAGCACAGCAGACCTTCACCAGAGAAAAGGAGGATGAGAAATACCTCAAGAAAAGCAGGAAATGCTTCACTTGGGAGCAGGCGCAGGAGGCCTGTAGGGAGTGGGAAGGACGTTAAGGTCTGGGTGGCCTTTAAGCTCAGACCTATTTTATTTTGTTTTGAGGTCTGGTCTCACCCAACCTGGCCCTGAACTAGGCTCAAGCAATCCTCCTGCCTCTGCCTTCTTTGCACCTGAGATTATAGAGGACAGAAAGTGGGCATTCAAGAGCTTACGAGGTGAGCGATGGGCCACAGTGGGGCTACAGCGGGAACACAGTGGGGCAGCTGTTCTCAAAGGTGCCATTTCAGGAAGCTGCAAGGAGTAAAGGAGCAGAGCTGCCATCGTGCTGCCTCCAGAGGACAGTTGTGTTTCCTCATTCCCACGTCAGCCTGAAACCTCCTGGTGCGGAGTGTGCAGCCTCCATGAACCTTAAGTGTGTGGGCTGTGGCTCTGTATCTGCTCATAGCAGCTCTTCAGAGTCAGCCCCAGGCTCACCTGATGCTGTAATAAACTGTAAATCCCAGGCTAGGTTTAATGGCCTAAGCATCCAATCGTCATGAGGAGGGTTGGCCAAGACCAAACACTGCACCTTATTCCTGGAGGAGCCGATGTCCCTCTGAAGTAATAAAGTTAGAAAAATGACACTCAGGAACCAGGTGCTATGATAGGCACCTGTAGTCCCAGCTCCTGGGAGGCTGAGGCAGAAGGATGTCTTGAGTCCAAGAATTGAGGTCAGACTGGGCAACAAATAAGACCTTGTTTTAAAAAAACAAATACAAGCCAGTCAGTGATGGCCTATGCCTTTAATCACAGCACTCAGAGGCAGAGGCAGGTGGATCTCCAAATTTCAGGCTAGCCTGATCTACAGAGCAAGTACCAAGACAGCCAGAGCTACACAGAGAAATCCTGTCTTGAAAAACCAGCCAACCAACCAACCAACCAAAACAAAAACAAAAACCCAGCACTCAGGAGGCAGACGTAGGTGGATCTCTTGAGTTTGAGGCCAGCCTGGTCTACATTGTGCATTCCAGGCCAGTGAGAGCTACAGAGTGAGATCCTATCCCAAAACAAACCATCACCAACCAACAAATAAAAACTGCTCCCCCACATCCCTAAAAAGAAAGACAATCACACTAGAAGTGGTGCACAAGGAAAGGGGCTAGCTCAGTGACAAGGATGTCGGTATACACCCTTAGCTCCTTGGCGGTAGTCAGGACAAGATGGCTTACCCGGCGGCCAGCCTCGTTGTTCTGTAGGTTCATGAGGGCTCGGCCCTGCTCCTCTGATCCCTTGACAAAGTTCTTCTCACGCTCTCGGGCATCTACAAACTCTTTGGCAAAGCGGTAGCCATACTCCACATTGTCCCCACAGCCACCCCACAGCCAGTCTCGTGGCAGGTCCTTGGGCCTGGCAGTCCGGCTGCAGCCACAGGTGGACAGCTCACCCTCTCGGCAAGCACGGCTGATGGCATTCACCACACCGGCAGCACTCACTGCATAGGTGAAGGCAGTCTCCCGGCTACCTGCAGCAGGGGACAATAGATAGTAATTAGGCCACTCTCCTCTGCTGATGGCCTCTCCTTCCCTCTTGGCTGTGCCTTGCCCCCTGGGAACCAATGTTCCAGGGGATGCCTGCCCTTTCCACAGACACTCTGCAATGGGCTGACCTTGGCCCATTTTGACTTCTGCCTCTTGGCCCCAGCTCTACACTATGACACCCTCCATGCCTGGGTAATACTTAAGCCATTGTACTTTGTAGGACCCCACAGCCACTCCTGGGAGGAGCTGTAAGTAGAGGGAGAATGGGCTTCCTGCAACTTATGGGCCATTTGGGACTAACAGGATGAGATTAAAGAAGAAATTATGAGATTAGTAGAACAAGTCCGCACCCAAGCAAGAATGGCTGTTGCTTCAACACCATTTCTCTCCCACCCATAAGTTACACATCTGTGTGTCTGTCCTCTTCATGGCTGCCACTGTCTGGTGGGACCCTGGCAGAGGCCAGGAATAGAAAGTGAACTAGACAACAGTCCTCCATCCTCCCCGTCCCCACCCGCCCTTCCTTGGGCCTCATGATGCCTCCCAATTCAAGAGCATTTGGGAGCCATATTTGAAGTTTCAGTCCCTGGTCATTTTCTATAAAGAGTTCCAGTTATGCTCCTCTTTATGACTACAACAATCTACTTTAAAACTCCCATGGTGTGGATACTGGCCACCCATGCCTCTAATCCTAACACTTAGGAGGCAGAGTCAGGTGGATCTCTGTGAGTTTGAGGTCTGTCTACACAGTGAGTTTCAGGACAGCCAGAGCAACATAGTGAGACAAACAAACAAACCAATAGCCTCCCACGGAGCATGCTCTGTTGCAGTGTGGATGGGAATGTTAGCATCCTCCCACAGGGCATGCCGTGTTGCACTGGGGATGGGTATGTTAGCATCCTCCCATAGGGCATGCTCTATTGCAGTATGGCTGGGAATGTTAGCAGCCTCCCACGGTGCATGCCGTGTTGCAGTGTGGATGGGAATGTTAGCAGCCTCCCACGGAGCATGCCGTGTTGCACTGGGGTTGGAAATGTTATTGGGTGCAGATGGAAACCAGCCTGGCAGGAACTGAAAGGGTTAGCAGAGTTCCCAGATGACCCAGCAATTCCATTCCTAAAAATATGCCCAATGGAAACAAAGATACGTGTCCAAATGTTTCCCCATGGATGTTCATTGCAGCATGATTCATAATAGCCACACAAAAAAGGAAGAATAAGAAAAGAAGGAACGGAAGAACCCAATTATCTATCAATGGGTGGATAAACACAACATGCCATTAGCCATACAGTGAAATGTTAACAGGAATGAAGTACCGACAGATGCCACGACATGGATAAACCTCTAAATAATTGCATCAAGTGAAGAGGCTATGTATTGTTTGATCCTATTTATAGGGATGCCCAGAATGGGAAAAGATCCACAGAGATTACCTGTGGCCTAGGGCTGGGGGTGGGGGTTAGACAGTATCAGTTAAGGGTCGATACAAATGTTCTAGAATTAATGGTTACAATTTTACCTCTAGTAAATACACTGAAGACCACTAAACTGTGTACTTTTTTTTTGTTTTTGTTTTTTGAGACAAGGTTTCTCTGTGTACTTTTGGAGCCTATTCTGGCACTTGCTCTGGAGACCAGCCTGGCCTCGAACTCACAGATCCGTCTGCCTCTGCCTCCCGAGTGCTGGGATTAAAGGCTTGAGCCACCAATGCCCAGCTGCTAAACTGTGCACTTTTAAATAGTGAATTGACATGAATGAATGATATCCCCTTAAAGCTATTTTAACAACAAATGACACTTGTGTGGGGTCAGATTCTGAGAAAAGCAGTTCTTGGCAGGTCACAGATTCCTCCTGGACTTTATTGTACCAGGTAGAAGGCTCTGTTCTCCTTTTGTGACTCTCTCAAGTCTCCATAATGGGAAGGAGACACCACAGTCCTATTCCAGAGCGTGAAGAGGCTGAAGCCTGCAGTCAGTTAAAAGGTACGAAGGCTGGGGAGATGGCTCCACTCAAGAATATCTGCTGCTCGGGCATAAGGCTGGAGTTTGGTTCCCAGCACCCGTGTCAGGTGGCTTTTGCCCCCCTATGACCCCAGATCCAGAGGCTCCAATGCCCTCCTCCGGCTTCTGTGTTCACATTCCTAGGTGCATTCACATCCATATAAATAAACAATAAAATGAATCTTAGAGGAAAGGTCTGGAGCGATCCCTGCTTCTTCTTTACCTCGGCACCACACAGTGGTGTCAGAAATCAGACCACACCGAGTGAATCAGGTTTTCACAATTAACAATGAACAGCTCTTGTCACTTATAAACAGGAACACCCGCGCCCCTCCCCAACCTCCACCTAATGGTAGAAGGCTCCACTTGTGACTGACACTTGTCACAGTGCTGACTGGAGCAGTGAGTGCTGGGGTAGTAAGGTAATCCAAGAAGCTCTTTAAAAACAAAGTGGTTTTATTAAAAATTGTGTATGTGGCACACGTTGGTGTCGCATGCCTTTAATCCCAGCACTCGGGAAGCAGAGGCAGGCAGATCTCTGTGAGTTCGAGGCCAGTCTGGTCTCCAGAGCAAGTTCTAGGACAGGCTCCAAAGCTACACAGAGAAACTCTGTTTCGAAAACAACAACAACAACGAAAGTTGTGTATATGTGTGTGTGTCTGTGGGAAAATGTCCACCGGAGTAGAGTACTTGTGGAAGCCAGAAGAGGGCGCTGGATCTTCTGGAGCTGGAGTGATAGGCAGTTAAGAGCAGTCTAATATAAGTACTGGGACCTGAACTTGGGTCCTCTGGAAAAGCATTATGTGCTCTTAACGAAGCAGGCTGGGCCCTGTTCTGAGTGAGCCATGCCTGCGAAATCTTCCAGAAATGTTCTCAACATCAGACATACCACCTAGAGCACGATAGAGCCTTAGACACCCCAGTACAAGGTCCCTCTTCAGTCTCCACAAACAGTAGCTTCCAGCATTCCTCAGAAAAGTAGCTGGCCTTTTAAGGCAACTTATTCATCTTTTTCCCCCCTTTCTCTTTAAAAATGATTCTATCACTAGAAAGTTCCTTTTCATATGAAACCAAAATACGCCTCCTTGTAATTTCTGCCTGCTGGAGTGGCACTGTCTAATCCTCTATCCATTTGACAGCTCCTCAGTGTTTGAAAACAAGAAACATGCCTTTTATGTGTTCCTTTCCCAGCTACATATGTCTGATTTCTTTTACCCTCCCTTGGCAAATATGCTTCTCAGAGTCCAATCGGCCCTTTCCAAATGTCTTCTGAACCCGTGTGCCCATCTCTGAATGTAATACACCAGGTGCCACAGACTTACTTCTGGTGACAGGATCTGAAAGTGTCCTTCAGCACACTGCCACTTTGGGAGGGGCGTGCCCAGATCCTGAGAGCATGTAGTATTAACTGCATGGGGTAGGACTTGAGTGTTGGGTAAGAGAGCATTGCATAGAAATCTCTTAAGAGAGGTTAGGTAAGCTGTGTATGTGTGTGTGTGTGTGTGTGTGTGTGTGTGTGTGTGTGTGTGTGTGTGTGTGTTTATTGCATCATGCTGGGAATGGGGGAGTGGGGGGTGGGGTATCTAGAGAACAAAAAGTCACTGATGAGAGTAAAACCAAACCATCTCAAAATACAAGCCTAGCATGCCATGGCCACAGAGCAACTGGAGAGATTCACACCTCCAGGCTCCTCGGAAAGGGAGCCTAGCCCTCCACCAGGCTTCCCACTGCTCCCAGGCAGAGGCTATTGAAGCAAGGCTGCTCTTCTGAGCTGCTCTGCTGCCCTCTGGTGATGACTTTTGCTGTAGTTTCAAGAAGAGAGAAGCCTAGGGACACCTCCCAGGATCCTAGAAGGAGCTACCCTGGGGCACAGGAGGCAGGACAGATTCTCAGGCAAGGAAAATCTTGAGGGAGGCTACAAAAAAGTAGTTGATGGCACACACCTTTAATCCCAGCACTAGGGAGTTCTCCATGAGTTCAAGCCCAGCCTGGTCTACACAGAGTTCCAACCAGGGCTATGTAGAGAGATCCTGCCTCAAACAACCAACGCAATGAAAAAAGAAAAAACAAAAACAAAAAAAACAAAGAGTGGGTAAAAATCAGACAGACCAAAGTGCTCTTGCTGGTAACAGAAATGGATCAAGCAAGATGTGCTTCCTTTGTAAGGTCTGTCTGTCCTTCACAGGTCACCCTACTATGCAATCAGATCAGACTCCCAGTGTCTATTCCTGACCTGTGTGCATGTGCAGGTGTGTGCACTGTGTGTTGGTACCCGTCCTATTCTCCTGGCTTATTTCCAGGGCAATAAAAAGGTGTTAGTCTTGTCTCGGAATTCTCCCAGGGCAGCTCTCCATCATACTGCCTCACAATCTTGTTTGTTGTTTGTCAGGAACCACACACCTTGTTTTGTATAGACAAGAGCTCTCGCTAGGACCTAGGGCTCCCAGATTTGGCTAGGCTGGCTGCCAGCAAGCCCCAGGAGTCTACCTGTCCCTGCCTCCCCAGCACTGGGATTACAAGCATGCTACACTGCACCCTTCTTTCTATTTGAGCACTGGAGATTGAATTTGGGTCCTCGTGCCTTTTATGTGGATTGGATGCTGGAAATCTAATCAGGTCCTCAAGTTTGCAGGTCAAGGATGTATCCCCACTAGTCTCATGGTCGAGACACCCAAAACTGCTTAGGCAGGTCAGATACTGTGCCTAGGAGAGGGACTTGAGTGCCAAGAGGACTCCTCAAGAATCAGTAGGTAAACCCCATGAAAGCCAACTACTCAGCTTTCAGGGAAAACTGCCCCTCAGGCTATGTAGAACACAGGCACACTCCTTCTACATAGCCAGAGCTGATCCCAAAGGCAAAGGCAGTTCAGAGGCGACTTCCCTTGTTTTTACTTTTCAATTTGAGGCCCAGGAAAGAGGTCTGGAGTAAATGTGTGTGGCAGGGAGGTTCTTCCTAATAGAATACTTTAAAATTTCCACCCCCTCCCCCTAAACATCCTGCTGTTTTATGGCCCTGGAGATAAGACCCAGCAGAATAGGGCCTGGTTTCTCAAGGAGGTAAGGATTACATTTCAAAAGGACTTAAGACAATTAGACTCAAATCACACCTCCATTTGGGCAATAGGACAGCCGGGCTCTCACCAGCTGAGCTGCGGGACAGAGGAGGGGAAGGATCCTCTCACTTTCCTCTCCCACCACTTCCATATACACCCCCCTTTCAAAGGAGAAAGCCGGGGCCTGGGCCTGGGCCTGGTTAATGACAGCTATTACCAATCTGGCACCAAGTTTTCACCTTCTGCTCAAGGGCTCAAGTGGAAGAAGTGAAAATCTTAGATGTTAAACATGCAATTTGGGATTTTTCTCCCCTGAGACTGTGAAGACTTCTTAAAAGGCCCTTCTAGCACTGAGACAAAGGCAGCCAGGGCAGGCAGGTCTCTAATCCACTCCCCCCTTACTCAGACATTCCGTTCCCTCCCAGAGTGACTCACAGACAGCCCCAGGGTGAATCTGACTTAGAGGAACACAGGGTGATGCCGTGATTGCTATAATAACTTGTGGGGTTCCCTCTTCCTTCTAACACACTTCCAAGCCCAGAAAGTGCATCAGTCATTGGGGTGGAGATGTGCCCCCAGGCATGAAGACTCAGATCCTGTGACCAAGCCAAGCTCAAGTGGCCTCTTACCTATCTGCATGACTCTGCCGAAGACAGACGTGTTGTCCACAGTACTACAGTTCCAGCGCCTCTGCCGGAACTGGTGCTGGCACTCCCTGATGCCCGTCTTGGCTCCCTCCCCGATGTAGGACATGTGCTCCTGATACAACTGACACAGCTTTCTCTGGCCTGGGGAAAGCCCAGGAAGCTGGCTGCACACAGGCTGAGCACCAATGATGAACATCTCAGGTCTCTGCACCGGGTTCAGAGCTAGCGACCTACAATAGCAATGCAGAAAGGGAGAAGGCCCCCCGGAGTGAATGCTCTATGCCATCCACTAAATCCCCTCTCTGCAATATTCTCAACATAAAAGGCTCTGGACTAAGGGTTCGGAAGGGAAATTGAGCACAGAGTCCAAGTCGTCAAAGAACATTGGAGGGAAACTGAGGCATGGACACAAATGCTATGTGAGATACCATATGCCTCAGACAATTGGCTGCTAAGGCCTTTATAAAGAGATTGGTAGGGTGTGGTGGTGCACACCTTTAATCCCAGCAAGTGGGAGGCAGATGAAGGTAGATCTCTGTGAGTTCGAGGCCAGCCTGGTCTGTATGGTGAGTTCCAGGACAGCCACAGCTATATAGTGAGACCCTGTCTCAAAAAAATAACAACAACAAAAAAAAACAACAAAAATTTGAACTGTCTTAAAGGATTAGGGTAGGTGGAACAGGCTGATCAGGGCAGCCATTCACTTCCGGGAGAGCAGAAAAAGTGGGACAGCACTGACCTCATTGAATGTAATGAGTTTAGCCAAGTGCAGGGTGCATAATGGACGTCAACCTACCCCTTTAATGCAGATTCCCTCAGGCCTTTTAGATCAAATCTACTTCACACACTTGGGCATGTACCCTAGTCATTATTCTTTCCCACCTCTCTGTGTTTCTCAGCCCTCTGCTGATCAGCTTGGGGGCTACTTTTGCTCATCACCTGGCACCTATCACAAATGAAGTACTAGATTAAATGAGGGACTTACAGATTTGCCAGCTGAATAAAAGCACGAGTTGGACACACCCTCTGCCATCTCCATGTCTACTTGGCAAATGCAGTGGCCTTACAAACACCAAAGAGCCTCCTTGGTTCTTTCTACAAAGCCCTCTTCTGGTCTTCAGACTGACCTAGTAGGAATTTTACTATATCTGCTTCTACCAGCAAAAAAACCCAAACACACAGAGAGTTAGCAACACCACACTATACATATACATACATGCACACACACACACACACACAGACACACACACAAATATTTACACACCTTTTTTTGTGTGTGATGTGGGTCTCACTGTATTCTACAGGATGACCTTGAATTCTTGGGCTCAAGTGGTCTGTCCCTCAGACTTAATAATGTGTGTGTATTTCTAAGAGTGAATTTCAGGATCTCATTTATGCTATCAATATTTTTTGCTGTTGGATAAATAACAATAAAAGCTATTTGTAACAATTCACAGGGTGGGGACATTCAGGAAGGGTTTTAGACAAGATCTAAGGGGGGGAAACCCCACACAAATAAAACTTATATTCTTCTCCTCATGAAACCCTCCCCTCTGGAAGGTTGAGGGAGAAGATGAGCTCTCCCAGCCTGCCTGGGATGGAAGAGGCCCCTGGTATTCCTCAGATAAAGGTGTGACCACTCCCATGGGGCCCTGCTTCTCATCTTGATTACCCAAGAAGTCCTCTCACTCACCACCAGGAGCTGGCATCAGTCAGTAGCTGGGCCCAGCTGGAGAGCAGAGCTGCTGTGAACAACATCAGGCTGGGCATGGTGAACCTCAGCCCATCCCAGTGCCCTGGAACCAACATCTTCCAAAGCGGAGCTCCCTGGAGAGAGGGAAGAAAAGGAGAGTCAGAGTGCCATGTCACAGACATGGGGAGCCCAGGAGAGATGCAGACAGTGCGGAAAAGCTAAAGGATGAGCTGTGGGAGGGACCTGAATGACCCCCCACCCCACCCCCACCCCAAGTTCAGCCCTCTTCAACCTCTCTTCCTGGGTAGCTGCTCACCACAGGGCCTTTGAGTCCCTTACATTACACTGTGGGACTCCTACTCAGGATCTAAGTCCGAAGCTAACAAGCTGTGAAGCCAGAAAAGCAAATGAAAACAGACCATTTCAAGAACAGTGTGCCTGGTGCAGCAATTAAGACACACACCTGCCCTTCTAGAGCCCAGGACAAGAGGACAGAGAAAAAGGGCCATCCTACCACTTACAAACAAACAAAAAACCCCTGCCACTCCAGTCTCTATCAGGCCCTTGTTTGTAGGGGCTAAGGGTTAAACACCTACAGAATTGAATTGGATATGACTACACCCCAATAGGCTGTACCCTTCCTGCTCTGAAGATTTCTGAACGCAAATTCTTGTTTACTCTTTAAGGAGTAATAGCAGGGAGAACATGAAAGCCCTTTTACTTCCCAGGCCATGCAGGAGCCTCCCAGGAGCAGGCTTTGGCGACCAGTCTCCTCCCACAACACTTTGGCCTTTGAAGGGCCACATGGAATGCAATTCCACCAGCTCGGGCCACTTCTCTGAAATCTCCCAGGAGGTCCTGCCCACTCCCTTGTTGCATTAGTGTTATTAGTGTTGCCACCTTTGCCTTGGTGAAACACACCCGTCTGGAAAAACCTTGGACATTTGGAAAATACAGCTTTGGCATCCCAGATCAATTGACCAAACGCCCACCTACATCTATGTTCTCTTCATTCCCAGTACACACACACACACACACACACACACACACACACACACACCACACTCCCCCACCCCTCTCCTCATTTCCAGTACACACACACACACACTCAGGCACAGCACAAGCATCCCACACCAGCTCACCATGCTGATGCTGACCTTCTGGGTCTCTAGACTCTCCGGGAGGGGGCAGCAGATGCTTTTTAGACCATCGGTCTAGGAAATATGTTTGACCTGGCCACTAAGGGAGGAAGATGGCAGGAGCAGGATTCAGAGTTGGGACATGCCTGTTCCCCACCCCTTTTGGTTTTCCTGCATGAGGTCTCAGCTGGGGCAGGGCACCAACAGGCAGGTGTGTGGGGCCGGCAAGGGGAAGATCAAAGAGAGATTTGCTCCTTAGCTTTTGTCATGTAGAGCCAGCTCGGAAATGATCCGGCCTTTAGCGGGGGCCACTAACAACTCCAACTTTCCTAACTGACTTCACTGCCTCCTCTAAGGGATGTCCCTCCCCCTCCCAAACCCCCCATAAATCCTCCTCCACCTCAAGATAGGAGGTCTGTAGAATTTAGGGAGATGGGGCAGAGATAAGGCTGGCTCCAGAAGCTAATGGCTTTATGGAGGGGAGGGTCCAGGCCCAGGACAGAGACGATACACAAGAGAAAAACTTCAAAGGGCGTCCTTGTTCAAACATCCCCAGCTTCTCTTCCCAGTCCTTCTTGGGGACCATTCAGCCTTCCCCTCTGACTGCCCTGGCCAAACCACCACAGACTGGAATACTCCCTACTCCCCACCAGCACCCGGCCACACTACCAAGTAGCACAGGGTTCTCCAAATGCATGGTACCAATGTCCCTGAGCCTCCTCACCCCAAGTTTCCCATCTCACAACCCCCTAACAGGCTCCTAGGAATCTTTCTGAGGTCCTAAGTTTAACCAAAGCCAAATTGGGAGTTGAGGAGGACGTCACTTCTGAGGCAGTCAATGCCTGCTAAAATCACTGTGTTTAATTGCCCGGGTCAGAGGCCCACAGGCCGTCTAGGGCCAGATTCACAGGGGTTGCAAATTCCACACCTTCCTGCCTCAAAAACAAAGGGAAAATGCAATGGTCCCCAGCAGCTCTCACCATCCTGTGCCCATCACAAGTGAAATTTTAAAAATGACCCCAAACCCAACCAACCAAAAACCCAAACAAACAAAAGCCTCTAGTATGTATGTGTGTTGTCCCAACTGCCTGCCAGACACGTGGCACATGAAACAAGGCACACACCAATGTCCTTAGCATCTCTGTCCTTGCCAGCAGTGGTCCAAGAACTGATGCTGGGCACCGCCTGCACTTCTGATGTGCTTGCAGGGTGTGTGGGGATAGACAGCGTGGAGACGACTGAGATGTTTTGGTCCCACTAGGTAAAAAGACCTCAAATCCAGACAAGACACAGATGTAGCCAGAGTCCAAGGAACAGCTAGCTGCTGCCCAGCTGTGGGACCCATAAGGCCTTGAAGGCATGTGGACAAGTCATGTGATGACTTATTCTGGTCCGATGGAAGTACTTTGGAAGGCTAGATGAGACACCATGGTAACAGAAGGCTTCAATCATTTCTAGACTTCTAGCTTATGAGCTTCAGGGAGTACTTCCACCACCTGGCCTCTAATCACCCTGGAGCATTCAAAAGCAATTACCCAGGAAAATGTCCAGTCCTTCTGTTACCGAGTGCCACCCTTCTGACCATGAAGCCATGGTTGAGGGAATAAACCATTCCAGAGAGGGAGCGTGAGTGCAAAATAGCCAGGGTTTCCTTCCACCCTTGCCTGGGTCCTGTCCTCTACTTATCTCTTCCTGGATGTATGCCTGAAACCTCGCTGTCCTAGCTCCCTATCCAGTGTATCAAATCAACTGCCAAGGCCATTGACTGTGTCTTCAGAGTGCATTTAAAGCCTGTTCCCCACTCTCCACTCCTACAGTCCTGCTCTGAGAGACCAAAGAGCAGGCTAGCTGATCTCTGTTCTCTAAATTGTTTCATGGCTTCTTTATTAAGTTCTCTAGTTTTCAGCTTTCTACTTTTGTAAGCTCTAGGTTTCTCAAACAAGTGTAGACTGCAACAATTAGTATCAGCAGCACATGGAAATCCATTAGAAACACAAAGGCTCAAATTGCCAAGCTCCACCCAGAAAGTTTTGTGTCTAGCACTCTGTTATTGTTTTTAGTGCAATTCTTTTCATTAAGAATTTTATTAATTACATTTATTTATTTGTGTGAAGAGTTGGGGGTGGATCAAAGGACAGCTCCACGGAGTCAATTCTGATACCCGTGAGAGCCACTTTCATGCAGCCATCCTCAGTAACAGGCACTGAATTGATGCACCATGGTTCCAAAATAACACATTTGTATTAACAATAAACTTTTACTTGTTGGTACCTTAAACTAATCACTCTAGGGTGTTAAAGACCTCTCAGGGCCACAGAACTTTCAGCATAAGCAAACCAAGCCACAGCTCTAGCAAAAAATGTCCACTGGTTTTTACTCTGTTAGTCATGTGTGTGGACCCCTCAAGGAACACACTAACAACCACATTAATGATGATTGTGACTGCACGAGTCTGTGATTACACCAAGTATCACTGGACTGTACACTTTCGATGAGTGGACTAAACAGGACATGGCTTATATCTAAACGAAGCTGTTACCATCTAAAAATGTGTTCATGATGCTGCCGCTGGCCCCTCCCCTGTAGAGATTTATGCACCAGGAAGTACATCAATAGCAGTTTTAGGGCAGTGCCTGCCACCACGCCTGAGTTTGAACTTAGCATTCCCCAGCCCACGAGTTCTACTGTTAGCCAAATGTAAATATATAAATAAATAACAAGATAGCATCCCTGTGTCAGCCTCATGCCATCAAGAGTGTCCATCACAGTGAGATGGATGGGCTAGTTGAGATCTGTGGTTGCAATGAAATACGGTGCAGGAATAAAAAATGAACAAGCTACAGCCGCACAAAGCCACATCCTCAAGTCTTACCAACATAACGTAGAAAAGCAACCACAGAGAATACAGGTGTAAGCCATACGGAAAAGCAAGAAGCCGAATATCATGAACACCATGTGGAGGTTCCCTCCAGGATGGGAGAGGGGATGGACCACGATGAGGAAAAGACAGAGTTTCTGGGCGCCAGCACAAGTCTATGGCTAAACCAGTGTAAGGGATAATGCCTGTTCACTGGTGCCATTATTTGGCTATGCATATATAATGTGCACATCATGGCTCTCTGCCATTTCCTGAGTTCCTGTGTTGTACATTATACAATAGAAATGTTCAAAACTGAGAAAAGATCCCATTAGCATGGATGGAGGATCTCGGGGCATTCTCTGTCTCAAAGGGCACACTAAGATCCTTCCACATCCCCCTTTTCTCCTCACCAAAAAGAATATTGGAGCTCAAAAGTATTAAAAAATGTTCATTAATTTAGAGACAGCCCTGTGATGTTGGAGGGCTGGGCAGCTATGGAACACAACAGCACATAGCCCCCAGCATCCTATCAGTGAGCCAGCAGTTTCCGTACCATGAGTCACTGCTGCATGGTTTCCTTTCACTGTGAGGAAACCAGGCTTTGGCCAAGCTACTGACTCTCTGTGTCATGTTTATTTATCTATTTGTTTGTTTATTTTTGCTGTGGTTTTTATTTAGTTCCCCAGCCAGCTCTGTCTCTGGCGTAACTGTTTTCATAGACATCTTTCTTTTCGCTATTTAGTTCACCAGCCAGCTCTGTCTCTGGCGTAACTGTTTTCATAGACATCTTTCTTTTTTTAAAAGATATTTTTCTTAAAGTGACCAAAGATTAATGCAATCATGTAAGGAAGACTTTATCAGAAAATCCCAGTCTCATGAAGGAATCCCCAGATGCTCATCTTCTGCTCAGCTCAATTAACACAGCCTTTCCCTGCCAGCCTTAATTATTTCTCCCAAGGGGCTCTGCCTCTACCCTGCCCCCCATTCTTCCTTCCCGCTTTGCTCAGCGAATCCTCTTAGCCCTAAGGCACAGCATTCCTTTGTGTGATCTACCTCCTCGACAATTGGTGAAGATGAAAATTAAAATATCTATGGTGGGGTGGGAGGAAGGTGTACCAGCTCTACCACCTTTTGC